AGAGAGAGCCACACGAAGGTCTCAAACGCGCCTATTTATACCTTCGCACATTCACCGCACAGGGCCGCGCCCGTCTCTAGCCCGTCTCGGGGCTGGTGCGGCCGGCGATCGGCGCATGGTATTTCTATATAGCATTCACATATCTTACCAATTGTCATATCGCAATATTCTAATCTACCACCACCATAGTGCAATATAGCATCATTACACGCTCCCTATCGAACAATGCACAACAATCTGTACCGGTGTTCATACTACCCACAACGTTTAAACTACACATGCCGCCACCTGCAATTGCATATCTAAATACCGTCACCACTATTACCGCAAGCATGTTACAATAACACGTCGCTGCGTAACATTCAGGTCAACGCACCATCACTCCAATCACTGCGCCGTACTTTGTGTGTCGCGTATCTGAACAGCCGCGTCGTAATTAACGCTCGGGCATAACCATGTACCTTCCAAATGTGTATTCCTCATCACCCTTCCTGATGTTGATAACACGAAACTCACTCGATGTCTTGTTGCGGCAAAATTACCGATGCATTGCGCCAGCTGCTGTCCCTATTTCCGACTGTCTATCCACTGCGCGAGTGCCTATCTGGAATATTTTTGTTACACTGTTCCAATAACGGGATATCGCCATTTCACGGTTCGCATAATTAATCGTTAGCCGGGGTACCTTCATCTCACATTCCCTCGATGACCGCGAAAGCAACACCTCGGTCGTTCGGTTTGTCTCTCAGTTCATACTTGTGCAGAAGTAGGTGTGCAGAAGATACGAGTTGAGTTGATAAGAAATCGGTCGCACCGAAGAGCCGGCATTGCTGCTTTGCATGTAGATCATGCACTGTCCATGGTCTGTCCGCTCCATTCCAGCCGAAGTACTGACAGCGCGCGCTCAGGGTCAGAGCTGAGCAGTGTACGACCCTCCCGCAACCGCGGGCTGCCGCTCGTAATCTGGCACCGATGTTGCATCTGATTCTGATCGGCCATCACCTGTTGATAGCAAGATATGTGCACCGGAGCCAACAGCTGTGAACACAAGCATAGTCACCTTTTCCCCTCCCTGAGACCTGTTGATGAAATGGGGTAGGATAGATACGAAAGTTGATCATACTTTTTCAACTGCCCTTTCTTTCAAGCTGTATATCCAAAAGCTACCTTGTGGTGTGCAGATAATACAGCGATGAAACCACACCAGGTGTACCTTTACTTCCTAAGGTTATGTAAATGCGTGGGCACGCCATCTCCTCGACGCGCTGAAACGCACAATGACCTCTCAGCGTCCGCGCTGGTCCGCGCCGCTCGCTTCTTGAGGCCATGGGTCATGGAACTCTGGAAATGCGTAATTATGGAGATGCCCCTGGGGAGAGGCACTGCTCTTCTGCTAGGAACACTGTCAGACCGGGGAGGTGCCGAGAGAGAGAGAGAGAGAGAGAGAGAGAGAGAGAGAGAGAGAGAGAGAGAGGGAGTGAGAGAGAGAGAGAGAGGGAGAGAGAGAGAGAGAGAGAGAGAGAGAGAGAGAGAGAGAGAGAGAGAGAGAGAGAGAGAGAGAGAGAGAGAGAGAGAGAAGGAGAGAGCAAGCGTTCGTCTGTCATTCCGTCACCGTCGTTTGTTTCTCTCCCCCGTGAGGTGTGCTTTGCGTTATGCCCTTATTGTACTCGCGATTATCTGCAGCCAGGAACCAATTTTCTCACACCTTTATCGGACCATATTTGACAAAGTTGTGCGATTTGCGAGGCAAAAATAGCGCATGTGGACAAATGTGGCGCACTGCGGCAAACGCGGTGCATTCGGTTAAGCGCATAAAAACTGTCTTTATTTACCGAAAATCAACACCTTCATTCGCCTCTGTTTATCAAAATAAATAACTTGGACAATCTGCAAATGAGAGGCACCCGCCGCCGATCGTCATGCATTTTATTGTCAAGGGCGATTGAACCCGGCTGCCGATGCCTTGAAGCAAGCTTGAGAGCCGAGCAAAATTTGGAGAAAAAGCACCTTTTTCCAGCGCGTGCCACGTGCGAACCATCCACCCCCCGGCACTCGAACCTCGACACTGCACGTGCCCATGACGTCATCAACACGCTGCGAAAATTTCAGCCCCATCGACCGCACCGTTTGACCTGCGCACGGCGTCAAAGCACACCTCTGCACGGTGCAAACAGCCACACAGACAGAGTTTCATTCTACAAATAGTATAGTAGATTACCAAGTCACCAATGACGTCATTATCTATTTAAGCCAACTACTAAGGTGCCTCGCTACTGAGAACAACAGATGCTGCTCACGCTGCTGATTCTTAGCATGAGCAGCTGCGGACTGTACGAAGAGCATAAGAGAAGAGCTCCGCATCCTTGGAGCGCTACTTGATGATGCACAATGGAAAATTGTCTTTAATATCCATTAACCCTCACCCGTATTGGTGTTTTCAAGCGGCGAACGTATATGGAGGGGGGGTCCGTTGGACCCTCCCCCTTGCCGTTTCGCGCCTGATCGAGCTAGAGCTTCGCGGAAAAACGACCATATTGCCCGTGATGAAAGGAAGCCGATGATATCCAATGTTAAGGTCCTAGGTCATCGGTTGACCTTCCAGGTCAGGTCAATGACTCAAAAGTCGGGAAAATCGGGACCTGTTAGAGCGTCGTAAAGGGTGGCTGCTATGGTTTTTTCGGGGTGCTGATCACGAATATCATGTTAGTTATGATCATAGATGATGTCTTCATGCATTTAGGCCAGGTCGGGTCAGGTCAGGTCAGGTCAACCAATAAGGGTTTTGCCGGGTATTCGTAGTAGGTGGCAACCGCCTCTGAAAGCTTCGTAACATGTTACGAAGGCACCAAAACTACTTCGTAAACGGTCAAATGGTTGCTATATTCGAATTCAGCTCTAAAAACTTGCCTAGAAACATACAACTCGAAAATGTGAGCCGAGGTCATCAAAGGTAAATGACCTGACCTGACCTTCCGGTGACCTTGACACCCACCCTAATGCATGGGAGCAACATCATATCCCATGTTTGAACGTTTGAAACCACGAAAAGACTGCAAACGCGCGGCTAATGCGAGGCGACATACGCCGAATCGCGATCCCGGCCAAACATGGTGCCATGGTGCTAGGCCGCCGGTGCATCTGAAAGAACTGTGGTGCCCCTGACAAGCCTGAAGTTCCAACGACAGGCCCGTGGTGCCCCTGACTGGCCCATGATGCACTTGCGAGGCCGGTGGTGTCCCTGCTAGGCCGGTGGTGCCTCTGCTAGGCCGCTGGTGCCCCTGGGCCCTGACAGGACTGCGGTGCTCCTGACAAGCCCGGAGTGTCCCCGACAGGCACGTGGTGCCACTAACAGGCCCAAGGTGTCCCTGCGAGGCCGGTGGTGCCCTTGACAGGCCTGTGGTGCCCCTGAAAGGAATGTGGTGTCCCTTGGCCCTGACAAGCCTGAGATGCTCCCGACAGGCCCGTGGTGTCGCTGACAGGTACGTGGTGCCCTTGCTAGGCCTGTGGTGCCTCTGGCAGGCCTGTGATGCCCCTGGCGGGCCTGTTACCCCTGACAGGCCCAAGGTGGTGCCCCTGCGAGGCCGGTGGGCCCCTGGCAGGTCTGTGGTGCCCCTGGCAGACCTATGGTGCTCTTGCTAGGCCGATGGTGCTCCTGACAGGCCTGTGGTGCCCCTGACAAACTTGTGGTGCCCCCGACAGGCCCGTGGTGCCCCTGACAGGCCCAAGGTGTCCCTGCGAGGTCGGTGGGGCCCCTGGCAGGTCTGTGGTGTCCCTGGCAGACCTATGGTGCTCTTGCTAGGTCGATGGTGCTCCCAACAGGCCTGTGGTGCCCCTGGCAGGCCTCTGGTGTCCCCGGGCCCCAAGGGGGCGGGGGTCATGAGTCATGACCCATATGACCCACCCTTGGATCCACCACTGGTCATTACTTGCAGACTGACTCATTTGACATCCATTGCAAAACAAGTCACAGTAGTATGTTTGTCACCCTGTTCCTTTATGCCCATTTTTATAGCGGGCAAATTTCGACGACTGGGGGGGGGGATTCTGTTGAGTGCGGGGGCATTTGCCCCCTCCCCAGTAAACATGTTAAAAAAGGTCCTGCGTCACCGATAGCTTTTGCGGCGTAAACAGTTAAGGCTGGTATTATTGTAAGTATATTGACATAGATATGGAAGCACTGTTGTTGAATTAAATGACGTCATTGGATTATGAAAAGTCTAGAACGTGTCAAGCGGGACATAGTGGGACTCAGCCGACTACAGCGGGACACAATGGGACTCAGCCGGTCCCAGCGGGACAAAGTGGGATTCAGACGACTACAGCGGGACATAGTGGGATTCAGTCGACTTCAGCGGGACATAGTGGGCCTCAGCCGGTTCCAGCGGGACAAATGGGACTCATTCGGTCCCACCGGGACAAAGTGGGACTCAAAGCGGGACAAAGCGGGACTCAAAGTGCGACTTGTCCCGCTGGGACCGGCTGAGTCCTGTCCCGCTGTAGCCGGCTGAGACCCACTATGTCCCGCTGTAGTCGGCTGAGTCTCACTTTGTCCCGCTATAGTCGGCTGAGTCCCGTGTCCCACTGGAACCGGCTGAGTCCCACTATGTCCCGCTGTAGTCGGCTGAGTCTCACTATGTCCCGCTGTAGTCGGCTGAGTCCCACTATGCCCCGATTTAGTCGGCTGAGTTCCACTTTGTCCCGCTGGGACCGGCCAAGTTCCATTGTGTCCCACTGGGACCGACTGAGTCTATGCGACTGAGTCCCACTTTGTCCCACCGGCTGAGTCCGACTTTATCCCGCTGGAGGCGGCTGAGACCCACTATGTCCCGCTGTAGTCGGTTGAGTCTCACTTTGTCCCGCTGTAGTCGGCTGAGTCCCACTTTGTCCCGCTTGACACGTTCCAGACTTTTCATAGTCCAATGACGTCATTCATTTCGACAGTGCTTCCATCTGTGCCAATACACTTACCTACAATATACCAACCTTAACTGTTTACACCACCGAAGCCTTTTTTATTTGGAATTTCGCTTGGTCGGTGGGTGTTTTTAATCGACAACAAGGAACACATAACTTATTTGACATGGCCGCAGCATCACGTGAGTTTATCAAATTGAAATGAAGGACCGTAAAACCTATGTCATCTGTGTGTGTGTGTGTTTTTTTAATCAAGCTACCTGCATCAACACCAATTTTAGGCCAATTCAAATTTAATTTTTCAGGGTAGGATAGTCACTTAAATCTTACATATCTCAATCTGGTATGAGCACAATGGCATTGCATGTAATGAGTCATCTTGATCTGTTGACATACACATACACTTATACCTACCTAAAGTAGGTATATGCCTACAGCCTTGCACTAAAAGTCAAGGTAGTCTAAAATGATGTAAAGAGGCCTATTCCTGAAAGGACTCTAAAGTGTTAAGCCACAGCATTGTCCATTTAAATATGAATTTGATATTTTTAATGCTTGTTAGTTGTTACCTACAAAAACCACCTTCATCTTCGGTGTTATTGCTTCATTCATGTCTTGTCTAGGGTGTTTACCTAGTACCTACTAGTCATTTGCATCAGAATGCCCTCATTTCAAGTTGTATATCCTCTCAAGTCTCAGATGTTAACACAATTTATTATTTAATACCAAGTTATCATGTTGACACATGCTTATGTATGATCGCAGGTTTCAGGCTGGCACTAGTCCAGCTATCAGTATGTGCAAACAAACAGGAAAATCTCTTGCGGGCTGCTCGCATGGTCAAAGAAGCCACTGCTGGAGGTGCTCAGATGGTTGCACTGCCAGAGTGCTTCAACTCACCATATGGAACTCGTAAGTCTTGTGCTCACTTTTACTCGATATGGTTGCTTTGAGGTGGCCTTACTGTTAGCTCTGTGCTCTGTCAAATATCCAGTTAAGATCACTAGTGAGGTCATAAAGGGTCATTGTGACTTTGTTGATTAGGATGTGATTGAGTTATACAATGGGTAAATAATGATAATCAGTGGTTATTTCAATTTAGTGTTCTTGTCTTTGTAAAAAGTGCATGACTATTTCTGAAAAATGCTGCCAGTCATGAGCACCCCAGTGCTAGATGATAACTGCCACTGCATGCATGAGTCATGGTGAGCCCAGCCCCTCATAAGAACACCTAACCAATAAGCACTTTACCAGCATCATGAATTCATCAGGTACTTGTTCTACATTCATGTCATATGTTAGCTTCATTTAACTTAGAGCTCAGAAAGCTGAAAGGGCATCTTGTCTCCAAAGCTGGACAAATAGATGAAAAGGAAGATGTTAAAGTCCCATTTATGTTGTGGGGTTCTGATTGCTGGTATGTTTGTTAATTGTTACTTGCATATCTATGGTCATTTCCAGAATATTTCGGAGAATATGCCGAGAGCGTGCCTGATGGACCATCGTGCAAAGCCCTGTCTGAGATGGCACGTGACAACAGCGTGCACCTGGTGGGTGGATCCATACCGGAGCGAGCGGGGGAGACACTGTACAACACCGCCACGGTCTGGGCGCCAGATGGCAGCCTGGTCGCCAAACACCGCAAGGTGAGCGGATCGCGTCGGGCACTGCTCCTCAACGACCGTTTCGTGGAAACGTCGATTAACAGATTTGTCAACTGATTGATAATTGGTGCTATAAGTCCCAAAGCCCAGCAGTAGTCGATGTGTGCTTTATAGGCCTGTCGATCTCATCGACACTGGCGGGAGCCGCTCACGGTGGTTCAAGTTCACGTCTTTTCCATGCGACATTTTGGTCGCGTTTTTAGTTTCATTTCCCAGTTGTTTCGAGTCCAGGGGCAACTAAAAAAAAAACGAAAATTTAATGCTCTATTCCAGTTATTTGTGCCCGATAGTTCGCTTTATCGATTTCCGTGTATCAACTGCTTCAGAGTGAACTGATAATTAAGCCTGTCATACCAGATCGTTGTGACGGCCATGCAGGCCTACACATTACAGAAGCATAAATCTTGTCTGTTACTATGTAGCTTGCACACCCACATTTCCGATCGTGTCTCTTGCCAGGTGCATCTGTTCGATATCGACATCCCGGGCAAGATCCGGTTCCAGGAGTCTGAGACGCTGACGGCGGGCGCGTCTCTGACCACCTTTAGCACGCCCTGGTGCCGGGTCGGCCTGGGCATCTGCTACGACCTGCGCTTCAGTGACATGGCCACTCTCTACGCCAGACAGGGTCGGTATCAAAACTGGCAGCGCTATCATAATATGTGGGATATGCAGAAAACAATATTTAGTGCGTGATTGTTATCAACCGTAAATAAAAGCAATCAATGTTTATGCGATGGAAAGCTGAACTTAGATGACGAGCTCATATTGTGTATGGAGAGTGCCCAACAGTTCGCCTCACTCTGTATAAGAAAGTAACAACGTAGGTTCCCCTGCCGTGTAAAACAACCATTGCTTCATGTTGCATTTACCAAGGTTTGGATGCGTTTACTTCATTACTTTCACCCTTTCGATATCCTCAAGGCATGAAAATAACACGGACAAACCTCACGGTATGCTTGAATTCGTTTTTTTTACAGGCTGTGACCTGCTGTTGTACCCTGGAGCGTTCAACATGACCACGGGACCGGCGCACTGGGAACTGCTGGCCAGAGCCCGCTCCGTCGATAACCAGGTGAGTTCGGTGCAACAATTTCTTTTGCAGTTCTGTCATGGAACGCTCGCTAACTATTGCAATGCTTGCACGATGTAAATGTGACCATATGCTGGCGATCCTGACAGCAGCCACTACCATACTGCAAGGTACAATAGTCCCAGACTCCCAATCGTGGTTCAAAGTAGTAAAAGAATTGCCGACCGACTTGCAAACTCTTTCAATGTTCGGAAACCGTCGGCAGGTGGCGTCGCCTTTCAGATGGCGCCACTGGCGTGACAGACAACCCCTGAAAACTCCGATTCGTTTTGCTCCAACATTCCAAATTCCAATGCTAAGTTCTGCTAAGTACTCCGTAAGGGCACCCCACGAATTCAACGCGCCACATGACATCAATTGTCCAGCTTATGACGTAGCCACACGGTATGCAACATTCAACCGTGTGCATTGTGCAGTCTTGTCCACTTTCACTTTGTCCATTTGATAGCGTTATCAGTGGATTTTGCATTGTTTCCTGTCCACATTGGACCTTGCAGCCGCGCAGTCTCTCAGCCGTGTCTGCGTGCTCTGTCGCAGGTGTACACCGCGCTGGTGTCGCCAGCGAGGGACACGACCGCCTCGTATGTGGCCTGGGGGCACTCGCTCGTGGCCTCGCCCTGGGGAGAGGTGGTGGCCTCCACCGAGGCGGACGAAACCGTCATCTACGCCGATATAGGTATGCTGTCCTTCCACCACAAGGGAAACTATGGACAAAATTAAATTTCATAATGAGATGCATAGCAGCTGGGAACTTGAGCAAACGAGTGCGGCTTCAGTGTTTATTGCATTGCAGTTCGAGATTGGTGACGAATGACGATTCCATGCATTTTAAAAACGCTTCCAAGGTGCAATTCTCGCCCACATCACGACCCTTGATACAGAGCCTAGCAGACTGACTTTGATGTTCGGGTTACTATTCTTAGATGAGACACACTACCCCCATCATCCTTGTTTCGTCATACATGTATAAATGCTACCACCTAATGACGCATTTTTATCCGATTCCCTGACAGATCTGGAGGAACTGAAGCGAATCAGAGAGAACATCCCTCTAGGAAAGCAGCGCCGACTCGACCTGTATGACACAGTGCAGAAGGTCTAGCTACCTGAGGGAACCCGAGCAACCAGTGAGTGAACTAAACCCGAATTTCGCCTGACCACTGAGTAAGACTGACGCATGTCTGGTTATTATAACAGGCTGGATTAGAGTTGTGTGACTACCCTGGCAGAGTGGGACATGGACATGTCTGATACATGCAGGTTTTATTCAGGGTTTGTGATCAGGAAAGCGAAGGTGTTCAGAAGCGATGAGTTAGGATGCGGCCAGTTAGCACCGCCTCGTTATATCGTTCGAAGTTTGGGGGTTATTGAGTAAACTTAACACTGTGATAGTGCCAGCTGTGTGGCGTTACGATGCGTAGATCGTACATGAGATTAACATTACAATACATGATATATTTAAGTTGGCATCTTTTTTGGGACCTTCGAAAGATCTTCGCAAGTCCCGTTCTCCGCACTCTTGTTCGATGTATTTTCACGCACGGTAGGATGGAGGAAACGAAAAGAGTTAGTTTATTCCTTGACTTCAGGCTAAAAATGTATCGATGGCTAAAAATGGCGCAGTCAATGGCTCCATATCAAAAGTTGTTAACAAACTGGGTCAGATCGCAATGTCTGCTATTTCAGTCATAAGGTCGATGTAGGTCTGCGGCCGCCGTCGTAGGCGGACGGTCGCACCGCGAGATAAGACGGTTAGGTTCATTGACCCGTCGTGCCATAACACTGGACCAAATCAGTTGGCTGCTGTTGGCCGATATTATCAATGATTATGCTGCTTACTATATTTCTTGTGCGGCCAGATTTACAACGTGTTGTGAAATATATATTTGTGCATTATACCAACCGCGTATCGCAATTTCCAACATCATTTTGACACTTTGGTAGACCCAAAATCAGTTGTTTCATAATAATTTATACTTACGACATATACTTACGACGACATATACATACTTACGACAGTGTGAATTGGTGATGCATAGATAACATGATACATGTTACCTGTGTGTGATGACATGTGAGGATCGACGTCGAAAAATACGTCGCATCGAAACGCATTGTGTTTAAATGAGCTGAGATGTAGCCTTATCGGACTATGCGCTATCTAATACAAGTCAAGTTTAAATGACCCAATGAAGTTCAGATAACTAACACTTCAAAGTAGTCTGACTCAACTCAGTTACCTTCATCTTTGTCGCAGTGGAAGTTGAACTCGGAAGCAGCTGTGACCCATACAGCAGTCATGGCTAAAAAAATACCACGTAGTTGCGTGATGCCATGCAGGTAGTCCACTAAAGCTAAAAATGTTTAACAATAAGCAGTTATGACATAGATGGTGTTATCCTTTTGACGCATTGAAGACCGGTGCTAAAAAAGACAGACACTGGTATGACCTATATTTGTCATTCAACATCGACATAATGGAAAAATAATATTTTTCACGGACAAGACCGCCCAAGATAGGTGTGAGCAATCCTCGACGGAACCAAAACCAGGTCACGACGCCTAGCGCGGAGCGAACCGTGACTACACCCGGGTTGACCCGGAATAAAAATCAAGTGCACTTTATTGTGTTCGGACCTGACATCGGAAAATCCGGGAACCGGCGCCTGCTCTACAACGCTAAATCCCTATCAGTTGACGCGGGCGGCCGGCGCGATGGATGCAATATGGATATATTTACAGCGAGACCACAGTTATACACGATCACATGGCGCGTCCTCTCTAGCTATCACATTCGGTGCGCCGGCGGTCGCCGGCGATCAGTTCGTGTCGACTAGGGTCCGGGCCCGTCGGGGTAACCAGGCCACTCTCGGGGCGATTCGGACCGACGCGGCTCCGGGATAGGACTGTGGAAAGTACGGAGCCGAGCGGGGTGCGATAACCCGTCGGGCTTTGACGGAATCCGGAGGTTGACCGGGGTCGTTCCCATCTGAAGACCCACCCGCGCTGATGGCGGACAGTGGGAGTGAGGAAACCCTAGGAGCGCTGGACAGAACCCGGGCGGAGCTCGCAGGGACGCCCGTCTCGGTTCGGCTCGGACGGATGTGCCACGTAAACAGAGTCCGAAACCCTGCGCTTCATCGGTAACTCGAACTCCAGACATCTCAGCAGCGTGCAACACTGTCCGAAACGGCCAGGGAGAGCGAAGGAAATGGTTGCTTGACCTGGACAGCTGAGTCGGAAATACAGGCCGAGGCAACTGGACACAAGGAAATCAGGACCGCGGCTGCGAACGACGACTTAAGATAATTGGCCAATTTCACAGAGCACACTGGACATGATGGCAAGTGTTGGAATTCATGCAGTGACAAACAGGGCCTAAAACTGCCCATATGTTCTGAGACTTCCGAGAGTGAGAGAAAAGTATGTTTGCTTGCCACGCCTTGCATGAATTCGAACATTCTTGGATAGTTGCTGTGGCTACATGCAATCGGTCTAACCTCACGAACATTTACATTTTACGTGTCCCACCAACGCGTGACATTTAAGATTGCTAACGAAACACAAACACGGAATGAGTCGTGACGGCGACGCAGACATTCCCTCGCAGCAGATTTCCTCCTCGAACTCGGACCAAATTTCCAGAAAATAGCGCAGGGAAGACACAATTAGCACGTGGACCGTCGCATCGCGTGCCGGCGGAGAATATCGAGCGTGAGTGAAGCTCCACGGGCCGGACCCGGCTGAACCATCGTTCGCTGCCCTTTCAGGGCCCATGATTGTCGTCGGTCATGGCCACAAAACGGCATCCGCGGTTCAGGAGTGCCTCAGTCGCATAACACACCTCGTTCCGCGAATCGCGGAGCACATGCAGCACAGAGACTGATACGTCACCGGTCGTCACAGCGACTTCAGCGACGTCAATAAAAGAAGAAACCGATGATATCATCAGGCAGAAATAAACCGCCCAAAGCGATTCGCCAACTTCTAAACGATGTCGAGAAGATGACAGTCATTTGTTTCGCACTCGGTCGCATATCCATTCCATTCCCTGGTTTAATCTGCAACATACGAAATAGATCCATGTGCACTAGGTGGAAATGACTGCCTATAAGATAATCTTTAAATTACACAGCCTGCATATACATTACAATGTTATTGGCAGGTACGGAAGAAACGAACACATCTGTTTGACGTCTGTTATGACTGTAGTATACTTTTGTAAGTATCTGCCTACTCAAGCGCACTGGGCAAGAGCAGCATCGGCATACGACAGGTGCGAATGAGACTCTGATTCAACACCTGCTACAAATGCAAATATATTTTCAGTGATGTAACGACTTGGTTGCTTGATAATGTAACAAAGTACGAGACGTGGAGGCGAGGCGGAAATCAACGGATAAGGGGATACAATTGGTTAACTAATAAATGAAGAAAGGATTTTGGCGGAAAAACCGATTAAGGTAACTAAAACCCTTACTTTTTAGTCCTTCAAAAGCATGCGTGCACAACAAAAAAGAAAAGCCAACGTTCCTATCAATGTTTAATGTTTTGTGTGTATAATGATATCTTCTTCATCACGAGTGTATTCACCTGTGCTGTGAGGAGGAGCTATCGCTCGCGTCACTGATAAGGACATAACAGATGAACCATGACCTTTCGGCTCCTGTACTCTACGACCGAGCACCAACAGAAGAAAAACATATCTGCCTGAGTGGAAATAACCATCGAGTTCAGTATTTCACTCTACTTTCCGGGGAGTTTTGTTTGCTTCAACTGTGCTTAGACTCTGGTTCAATTGCTTATCGTTAATACAAATTTACAACGAATACTTCCGCTCCCGATTAACAACATAACCGTTTCGGTACAATAGGCTGGAATGGAGAATGAAAAGACAGGTTTTTGATTTCAGGAAGGCAAGCATGGGGTCGGCAAAGGCATAAGTACCGCGGGGTGGTACACAAAAGGCGGGTCAGCACACAGGACTCTGCGCCAAACGGCGCACCACTGGGTACTCACCCCTCGCCGGTGAGCGCGCAGCACGCCTGTATCCGCCAGTGGTGGCGCTTCAGTGAGGTGAGGTTCAGCTCGCGGCTTATGTCCGCGGACGACAGGGCCGACTTCACGTCCTGGAACGGGGAGTCAGCGTCTGTGTCAGTGCCAACGTCAGTGGCAGTGACAGTAGCAGTGCCGGGCTGGGAGGGTTCGATATCGGTGTGTACAAGTTGGACGGGTGACATGTGCATGGATCCGAGAAAATGGATCTGGGATCTGATCCCACGAATCCTGATCTCGAATCCGACGGGATCATAGATCCAGCTCTCTAATTTATCGAGGGATCCGTAGGGATCACAGATCAGTCTCATCTTTTGTTTGAGATTCAGTGAGATCATAGATCCTCAATTATTTTTTTGTCAGCACAGAAATCCCCCAAAACACTTGTTGCAACTCACAAACGTTCTGTTTTAGTGATTTTATGTGATTGCACGTCATAATCCATAGTTTTGTGGCACTTGTTGACATAGAAACCCTTTAAAACATGGTTTCAAATGGGATCCACTCAGATCATACTCGTAGATCCATGTTCATGGTTTATCGTCAGATCGTTTGAGATCACAGATCCAAGATAAATTTGTCACGCCAGATCCGATGGGATCATAGATCCTAACCTGCAGTTTGCTTCGAGATCCACTGATATCATAGATCGATCGCTCGGATCCATGCACATGTCTGCATGGCAGGATGTGTTGGATGCACTGTAATGCCGCGGTGGGGTAAATGTCAGTTGGCAATTAGGATGAGTGCAGTTTGAAAGTTCGGCTCTAGTAGTTCTTGACGCTGATATATGACGTGGAAATGAAATCCAAATCGTGGGATGACGATTGTAACAAACTTAAGTAGCACATTATCAAACTAGTCATCCTCGTGACGAGTACCTAGTAGATAACAGAGGACATATCAACGGACGTTCCATGTGAATTTAGGAGGACGACGCCACTAGAGCTGTAATAAATCACCCTCAACATCACTTTTAACGATGCATTAACGCTCTGTCACGCAAGCTCCGGCTGCTGCACCCATTCGAAGCCATAGCTTCAGCGAAACCATGGCGCTGCATATCCAAGATCAATGGATCTTGGATGGGATCCAATGATATACGCGTATGACATGGCATGACATGGATAGCATGGCATGGTATGGAAGAATACTCACCTGTTTGTTCGCAAGCACCAACAGCGAGGCCTTGGCGAGCTCGTCGTGCGCCAGGATCTTGCAGAGCTCCTCCTTGACCACGGGCAGTCGATCCTGGTCCGTCGAGTCCACCACCAGGATTATGAACTGGCGAGAAAAGGAAAACGTCAGATGTCTGTTCGGTGATTTAATTACTGGTTCATTGGCAGGTACATACAAAGCCGGAACCCAAGTGGTAAAGTCTTGCAGTTCAACGTGGTGTTGTAAAGTGGCTCAGGGAATTCAGTACCCCGCGCAAACGACATGGCTGCACGCGAAGTGCGGTGAAAACCTGCAGCCGTATTGCAGATTTTCATTCGCGACAACATAACTTGGTGTTATCGGCTGTCTAGTGTCTATGTATGATACAGGGCTTGATCGTGTAGTAGTTTACATACCTACTTTCTTTTCTTTTACCATGTGACTGGTACTCATAATAAAAAACTTTTCCATTACAGCCCTTTTTTCGGAAAAGCCGGCGGACTGACGCGACCATGAACATTATCTCAATAGTCTGGCAAACCGAATCACGGCCGCAATTATGCATCAGCTATAAAATGAAAATAATAAAAAGGAATGTCGTATGCACCTCCAGTATACCTACTCAACCATCAGTCACGGCCTAAATTCGCAGGCTTTGTCTCCACTCAGCAACAGCGACTAATCCGGCCCAATCACGTACGGCGCAAAAAGAAAGACGAGCACGCCTCTGTTCAGCTAGCCAGACGAATCGCACTTCCATTGATAGAAGCCGTGGCTGGGCAACGCACTGCGTTCCCCGAAGCCGCGCCCCCTTCAGCTGCCGAGCTGTCGTTATCTGGAGCTCCCCGGCAGTGTCCTTGACTTTATTTCTCACCGCGCCGGGGCGGCCGGCCGCGCCAGCGACCTTGCCCAGTCAGTTATATGGGCAGGTGTCTGCTGGTGAGAGGACCGCGGGCGCGGCCGACCACGAGCGAATGCTCGAACAGAGAGCGGCTCAGTGCAGGTAGCCCAGCTGATTTGGTTGGGAGATCGCACTTTTTGCCAACAAGAGAAGTGTCATAGAGCAAAACACTTAACAATAAGCGCGTTACAGTGCACCTGCACCTGAATCGTTTCACTTATATACAGCGTAGTATACAACCAGAAGTCAGAACATCGTAACTCTATGCGATTCACCCCGCCACAGCTGTTCCTTCGGCTCGCCTCGCCCAGACTCGGCCAACCCGTCTCGGTTTGCCCCACCACAACACTCGGCTCGGCCAGCCGGGCTCGGTCCGGTTCCGAGCGCTTACGCGACTGTGAGGAAAGGCACGCCCGCCCGCGGTCGCACGGCGGGGCTGCGGCTGCGTGACAGAACGGCGACCGTGCACGGCTAGCGACGTGCCGGGCCCGTATGGGCGCGACCGGTTGTAGTCGACAGCCGCCCGACGCGCGAGGGGAGGAAGAGATGTGCAGGAAGTTGCGAACAGTTGAAACATTGACAGCCGGACGCTGATGTTCACGACTAAACGGCCCAGTGTCTGGCACAACCGAATGTGATGGAAGCAGACAGCTTTGTAGCCGCTATCCGAAGCAGTCCCTTAGTAATGGTCGGCATTTAAGTTCATAGAAACCAATAGATACCGGTGCTTATTCGCACCGATTCAATATTATACGTTAATTTAACGTAACAGGTTTCCAAAGGATAAAAAGCAGTAAGCCATGCGGAATAATGGTAACTTGGAGTAAAACCTGCACAGGCTGGCCTACATAAGCCCACGTCCGGTGCCCACGGAACGAGTTTGGGCGCGGCGTCACGTGCACGAACCGTGCCCGCCATAAGCCGGGTGGCCACCAGCTCGACCCACGCTATGGCCACGGGCGAGGCTGCCCAGCCCAGCTGGCCGACCATCGGATCGCAAATGTCGAACGAAATTAAAAATACCGTCACGTAATCAAGACACATAAATGGATAACGACGTCAGATCCCTGCCAGTGATGTGAAACAAAATCAAATGTTTCACAAAACGGTCAAACATAACCAAATTCACGTTAACCCACATAACGTATCGTGTCATATCCAGCTACATAAACCGATACGGCGGCAGTATAAGATGCATTAGAAATTTCCGTTGAAAGTCATTCAACCAATTGGAAGCATTGGAAGCACCTATGTCCTGTAAGGCAAACACCAAACATCTAAAAGAACATACGGTCCTGTAAATCCGACATCCTTCGCAACTGTGAGAGCCATCACTCGGCCCATCTTACGCAACACCCCTACAGGGAGCGGGACGATCCGAGGATCAATCAGGCCCGGGGCGCAGCTCCAAAACAACATCGGCTCATCCGCATCGCAAACCAGTGACGAAACAGCCGGTCTCGCTCGGCACACACGCAGAGGCACACTGTCAGCGGGTGGGGTTATCTGCAGCGCGAGAGATACGCTGCCAGCCAAGGCCGTATACCTATATAGGCCTTTCTGCCGTAACTGCTCGCCACGGCAGAGCAGCTGGTGATCCCCTCGTCCGGGTAATCTATCGGTATTTCAGGCGTGTCGAGACAGAAAATGCTCGGCACACCTGAACGTCTTCCCAGCTGGCGTGTATCTATACAATACCGGCTAAAGTCATGCATGGCAATGGTACCTATACGTGGTCGATGTCTACCAATACGTAATTTTAAAAGCATTTCGAAGTTCATCCAAATGCTATGATTATCATTTCAATTGGTAGAGCCCAGCCTGCGCTTTAGAAGCTTGCTTCTCAGGTGATGATTTTCGCTGCTCATAGAGATGAGTTCGAGCAGTCCGGTAAATTGATGGAAGGGTTTACAATCGTAAATTGAGAGCGCCCATGAAGATTCATGCCCATTGCCCACTGATGTCATTTGGTTGTGGGTTCTCCCACCAGTCACATAAATACCTAATTTGAAGTCCAAGTGCAATGTCATGAACTTGTGCATCGGGCGCCGGAACGACGCGAGCTCGCACTTTTCACCGATAAAACGATGCTAGACTGTCTAGCCGTGAGATGGAGCAAGTGATAAAAGAAACACATGTCACATTCACCAATCGATATATCAGATGGAAAATGATCTAGGTACATCAATTGGTTGCTAATTGATATGTGAAGTTTTTCATTCATGTACCTGATTGTTAATTATAATATCAAACAGGATTACAAACAGGCGTCTTATGATACAAACCCTTGAAAATAAGATACAAAGAGAAAAGACAAAAGCAGGACTTACTCAACACTCATCTTTTGGCACATTTTGAGCTGAAGCCACCAAGTTCGAAAAATAGGCATCCATTCTTACCATTCTCTTGTCAATGCTTAGACACACAGACAAATAGCTGTATGCCCTTTCAATACCCTCCTTGTTGGTAAACTTCCTTACCTGAGTGTTGGCATAGTAGGTGTTCCATGATGCTCGCAAGCTTTCTTGGCCACCAAGATCCCACATCACAAATTGGGTATTCTTGTATTTTATTTCCTCCACATTTGAGCCAATGGTTGGGGATGTATGTACAGTATCTCCAAGAAGGTACTGGTACATTATTGTTGTCTTGCCAGCATTGTCCAGGCCAATGATCAAGATTTTGTGCTCTGAAAAGAGAGGATAATCATCTGACACAGCTTTAAGGGAATTCATGGGCACCATTGAACATGGGAATTGACCAGTTGAAGAGACAAAACCTACAAACAATGGTAAAACATGATAACCCTTTTAACAAACCTAATCCTGACTGCACCCATTCCACCAATTAAACAACCCATTGCATTTACATTCATGGTTATCACTCTCACTCTACATCTGCCCAATTCTGAGCTCATTATGCCTATTTCTGGCTCTGGCTGACAGTTCAAATTTGGCTACCGAGTTACAACAACTTATTACTGTCATGCCCATGTTCTCTTTGATGTCTGATTGACCTTGGCGGTGTTCCACGTCCCACAACCACGCTGCCAGCCACTGCCAGCGCATTTCACGAACTGACGTCATACTTATAGTAGTGCTGAAGCTATGGGCTTGTTAATGTTTCCATGGAAACCCAAATTGCCAAGTGAGCTGACAGCGCGCTGGCAGCATTGGTGAAACAACGCCTGTGTGCCTGTCTCACGAACAATTTGAATTGAAAATGCATGCATTCTAGGATAACACCAATTTCACATCTCAATCTGACTCACCATCTGTGTTGAAAAAACTCCAGAACTTTGCAAAAAGGAGTCCCATTATCTTCTTATTAGAGACAGGACAGCAGTTACAGGCAGTTGACTATCAGCTTCAAAGGCAGTCAGAAAAAGAACTCCAACTCAAACAATGCACCTGCATGAAAATAGGCATTTGACTACACATGTAATATCCTCGTTATGAAAATGCTACATGGAATATATTCCAGCACTTATTCCTTATCATTCAGCGCATCACTGTGGATAACCGATATCTCAATCTTTATTACTCCTCTGGCAGTGCTGCCAGATGGAGAAGGCTGTAATCCTCCAGATCAGTTACAAAAATCCTCCAGATTCCTCCAAATCCCATTGGCGGATCCAGATAGGCGGTCTTGGACGCTGCGGGAGGGCATATCTCCGAAAAGGTTTCTCCAAATTCTAAAAACTCATCGGATTTCGATTCCTTTCGCACTGCTGTGTAGTTTAAAAGATGCTTTTTTATAATAAAAGTTGTTTAGTTTTCGTTTTATCCTTGAAAAAAAAAAAACGAAAATTTTCTTCGATTTTGGACGCTGCAGGAGGGGGGGGGGGAATTTGCGCCAAATGTCCCCCTTTGATCCGCCAGTAGTTCGGTACCTTCAAAAACATATGGTACAATCGTACACGAAATAGGAACAAATAGTCACCATGATATTCGTGGATATAGCTACAGACTGAGACATTCCAGTCTCACGGTGATAAAGGGCAGTGATATATCCTAACGGGTAGGGTGAAGCTGGGCAGGAAAATGTCTTTTGAGTCTTGAACGCGTTGTATTTTTCCATGAAATTGAATATATTAATCGGGTGACAAATCCTCCAGATTTTCCTCCAGAATCAAAATCCTCCAAACGCGAAATTTGTCCGCAAATAGAGTTCAAAATCCTCCAGATTTGCGGAAATCCTCCAAATCTGGCAGCACTGTCCTCTGCTGCATTTCTAACAGGGGGGCGACACGGCTATTCACGCAATGTATTCATTTGCGGGCCTCGCGGGGCCTCGCGATGACGCGGCTGGAGGCAACCACTCAGCGCGCTAGGATCCTTCTGGCGGGGCCGGGCGCCGTAAGGTGTGCAATGAGTGGGCGGGCAGACAGAGATGAGGTGGGTATTGAATTTGAAATGACATCATGAACAATTGGATGAGGAGAGAGAACGTTTCTAATGGAGCTTGAGATGGGGGAAAACCAAAAATATCACGGTCGGTTCAGAGCTCCGACGGGGCAGGGCGCCGTACGGTGCGCAGTAATTTAGACGGGCAGACAGAGACGAGTTATCGGA